TTTGCTTTGCTGCTGGGGGGGGTGGGGGGCATGTGCCCCATTGCACCCCACGCATGTGCAGCCCACGGGGCACCCAGGCTCATGCACACCGCATGTGGCAGGGGCGTGAGGGTTCATGCGCCTGGCATGCGTCTGCCGTCCGTAGCACGCCGGTGCAGTGGGTGTGTGCCGTGGCACCGTGCCCTGCACCCCACACTGGGGTCTGGGCACACACGGTGCCAAGTGTGGCGCACACACATGTGTGTACACGTGTGTGTGTGTGCCACCTGCGCATGCACCCACCCCACTGACACCCGCTCCGGCCCATGGTCCCCAGGTGCACCGCGGGATTAAGGGAGTGGTTCGGGACAGAGACACGGAGCAGGGCATCGCCAATGCCATCATCTCTGTGGACGGCATCAACCATGACATCCGGACGGGTACGGTGGGATGGGGACAGGGATGGGGATGGAATGGGATTTGGGGATGGGGAGGGGATGGAAGTGGGGATGGGGATGGGAATGGGATAAGGTTGGGAATAGGGATGGGGACAGGAATGTGATTGGGGAGAGCATGGAGCTGGGAATGGGGTAGGGAGGGGATGGGAATGGGGATGGGATGGGGACAGGGAAAGGAATGGGGATGGGAGTAGGATGGGGATGGGGACAGGGATGGAATGGGATGGGGATGGGAACAGAAATAGGACAAGAATGAGAATGGGATGGGGACAGGAATGGGTTGGGGGATGGAGATGGGGCTGAGGTGAGGTTGGGGTTGGAGATGGGGATGGGATGGGGACAGGAAAAGGATTGGGGATATGAATGGGATGAGGATGGGGCAGTGATGGGGAAGAGGACAAGGGCCCGGGCTGGGGATAGGCGTGCGGCAGCACCAACGCCCCCCACGGCACCCGCCCCACTGTCGCAGCCTTCGACGGGGACTACTGGCGGCTGCTGAACCCGGGCGAGTACGAGGTGACGGCACGGGCCGAGGGCTACGAGGCGGCCACGCAGCCCTGCCGTGTCTCCTACGAGAACGTGCCCACACCCTGCAGCTTCCACTTGGCCCGGGAACGGCGGCAGCGGCTGCGGGGGCAGCTGCCCGGGGGGGCCCGCCTGCCCCCCGACCTGGTGCTGCGGCTGCGGCGCCAGCGTCTGCG